GGTAAAGTCTGTGTCGGACCCATCCGATGCCCTCGTCACGCGGGGGAAGGAGCCCGTCTGCCCATAGACAGTCTGGTTCCCACTGCCCCAACCCTTCAGCCACTTCACGGGGCCAATGGGACCGCCACTAGATATGATGCACTTCAGGGTGAGCGTCTCCCCCGCTGTCACCGACACCGTGTCCTGGGGCTGCTGCAGCTCGAAGCCCTGCCCCACCTGGGCACCCGCACCTGGGCACAGGGACAGGAGGGTTTGGGGATGATGAGGGGCCCCGGAGCTGGGGCACAGCACGGGGCATCACCAGACCCTGGCCCCAATCCCAGAGCAGTGGATGTCCCCATTCCTCCCCCCCTGCGGCAGCCAGCACTGCTGGGGACTGCGGGAAGGGGGAGGAGAGTGTCCCCAGGATGTGCTGGACTAAAACTTTTTGGCTGGGGATGGAAGCACAATGGAAGGGAGGCAGTGAGAGCAGGGGCCCAGATGCCCACGGGCACGGGGCAGGATTGCCGTGCCAGCGGTGCAGGGGAGGGTGCCGGGGGAAAGGCGCTGGGGCTGCGTGGGGCCCCCACTCACCCGGGGCTCTCCAGGGCAGGAGCAGCATCAGGCAGGCGAGAGGCAGCGCCTGTGTTGCCCACGCCATGGTGATTCCCACGTCCCGCTCCCCACGGCTCGGCTCTGCTCAGCTCAGTTGGATGCTGATCTCGCCCCTATCAAAGGGGAAGGAAGAGGCTCAGCACCGACCAAGTTCCTCCAAGAACTGCTTGCACAAATCCCAGCTGGTTCCCAGAGTGTTGATGCGGTCTCATGTCACAAGGCTGGTCCTTGCTGGCGATGTCAGTCCCTGTCTCCCTGCGGATGTGTGCCACGGCCACAGGCACCGGGCAGCCAGCGAGAGGGGCCCTGATCCATCGTGCTACATGTTGCCAACCCCCGTCTTGGCACCCCGCGGGGGGGACACCCAGCCCTCGCCAGCAGTTTGGGTGCACAGGCTGGGGTCTCTGATGGACCGGTGATGCAAAGCTCACCCGGGGCTTTCCCGGAGCCCCCCTGCACCCAGCCGAACCGGTTGGGGGACAGAGCCGCTCTCCTGCCCCGTTCCCAGAGCAGCCCCAAAGGCTGGGGCGGTTCTTGACCCACGGACGATGATACCCTTCGGGGGCGAAGCCCGGCCGAGCGCTGCCCGACGCCCGCCCGCCCCCGGGGCAGGCACCACAAGCGTTAACAGCCGACTCTCCCTCTCGCCTCCATTTCCTGTGCAGCTTCTCCTTTCCCTTCTCCCGCAGCCGGAGCCCCGAGCTCGGGCAGTGCCCATGGCTTTGCGGGGGGGGGGCGCC